ACATGTGATCCTACAAACGCTGCTTGTGGTGACAGTAACACCCGCGGCTGGTCACTACAAACGCTGCTTGTGGTGACAGTAACACCCATGGCTGGTCACTGCACAGTCATAGAATGGGTTGGGTTGGAAGGGACCTTGAAGACCATCTCATTCCCACCCCCTGCCCTGGGCAGGGACACCTCCCACCACACCAGGTTGCTCCAAGCCCCCTCCAACCTGCCCTTGAACCCCTCCAGGGATGGGGCAGCCACAGCTTCTCGGGGCAACCTGGGCCAGGCTCTCACCACCCTCCCACCAAACAAGTTCTTCCCCACATCTCAGCTCCATCTCCCCTCTTGCAGGGTCCAACCCTTCCCCCTCCTCCTAGGGCTCCCCTCCCTCATCCAGAGTCCCTCCCCATCTCTCCTGGAGCCCCTGGAGGGACTGGAAGGGGCTCCAAGGTCTCCCCAGAGCCTTCTCTTCTCCAGGCTGAACCCCCCAACTCTCTCAGCCCCCCCTCCCAGCAGAGGGGCTCCAGCCCTCCCAGCATCTCCGGGGCCTCCTCTGGACATTCGTTGCCTTCCCTTTTTCCCTGCCCAGGGGCACAGCTGGCTCCTTTTCCCCCGGCTCCTCTTCCACATCCTGCTTCCCGGGTCTAGTTCCCTTCTTCCTGAAGACCTGCCCCAAGCTGCAGCACCTGGACATGTGGCAACACATCCGTCGAGAGATGTTTTAATGAGAACAGCACTAACGATGTGACAGCAAGACATTCCCAGCAGCTTTACTAAGCGAGGATTTGCTATGCATCTTATTTTGCTCTAGTTTCATCTTGTTTGGAGAAATCTGTTGCCTTCACTGAGCACGGGAGATGTTGTAGGTCCTTCTCTCCAGGATTTTCCACCCTTTCTCCAGGGCCTGCTCATTCCTGGCCAAAGCCTTTGCTCTGGTTGGTCTTGGGTGGCCTGGGGAACTCAGGGGGGACTCGGGGCTCCCCATTGTCAAGTTGTGTGAGCTCAAGCTGGGAAGGAGAAGGTTTTTTGGAGAGCTTGGTGTGGAGGTGAGGCTTCTGGCCCTGACTGGAGGCATCAGAGTGGACGTCTATGGACACGGAAGGGCTGCAGAGCCCTTGGGGGGCAACTGTCTCTTCTTGCAGGGTCCTGCAAGAACCTTCCAACCTGGGACATCCCCAAACACCTTTGGAAGACACCGTTGGGCATTGGTGTTGGGGGACAGAGCGAGGCAGCAGAGTCCTCATCCCCCCAACACCTCCTGCCCAGCCTCCTGATGGTAGACATGGCTCTTTCTTCACCGATGGATGTCACTGATGTTCCTTCATCCTTCAGGATGTCACTGGGCATCCTCGCACCACCCCAGCCCTGGGAACAGGGCGTCTCATGGTGGCTCAGTGCCAGTGGAGGTGGCATCACCTGCTCCCTGCAGCCCACAGGACAGGGGGGTGCTGGCATCGGGGCACCTCTGGTGGCCCCATCCCTGGTCTTTGGGGTCTGTGGGGCTGTGTGGACGCACGGCCAGGCCCTGGCATATGCCTTTCTGTCGCCTGTTTAGGTCCGTGCAGGGGGAGCCAAGAAATCTCTTAACTAAATAAACAGCTCTCTCCTCCCAGCTGGCATCTGTTTATACGCCAGGTACAAACAGTCCCCACGGCTGCCCCGCTCACAGCCCGGCCAGTTCTTTCCACAAAACAGCGGTCCCTGAGGGCCAGCGGTGCCGGGACGGCAGAGCCACACTCTGCCCCGCACGGACACCACGGGGCCTTGGGCTGGGGATGACACCACGGCCAGGCCATCATCTGGAGGAGGAGACCAACCCTGGCTGCAGAACACGGGGTCTGGACTCAGATTTGGGGATTCAAGGCAGTGGGTGAAGCCACGGTGCCCTCCCAGCCCTGGGAGGACCCAGGGAGCTCCTCAAGCTGCATCTCCCAGAGGTGTTTTTCTTCCTCATGTCCCTGAAGTCCTAAAGTCCCCGTGGCAAAGATGACATTTGCGCTGCCACCCCCTCGCCTTGGTCCTTTCTCCTCCTCCTCCTGCAGCCGGCGTCGCTGTGGTTGTGCTGAGGACACCCAGATGAATCCCACAGCTGTAGATCTGAGCCTGACGAAATCATGGCCCCCATGGCAGAGTCCCAGCAGGTCACCCTCTGCTCGTCCACAGAGGTGGCAGAGCCACTTTTGGCAGAGTCAAACCACGCTGCCAAAGCCTGGCACCCAGGGAGAGCCAAGCCAGCAGTGAGGGGCAGGATCTGTGTGCTCCTTGGCTGCAGAGCAAGGAGAAGGAGGTTTAAACTTCCAAACCTGGATCCAGGCTTTATGGTAGGATCCTCCTCTGTACAGCAAACTTGGTCCCAGTGTCAGGGGTTCATCTGTCCTCAGTCATCTGCTTGTAGAATCATAGAATAGAACCATAGAATGGTTTGGGCTGGAAGGGACCTTGAAGACCATCTCATTCCCACCCCCTGCCCTGGGCAGGGACACCTCCCACCACACCAGGTTGCTCCAAGCCCCCTCCAACCTGCCCTTGAACCCCTCCAGGGATGGGGCAGCCACAGCTTCTCGGGCCAACCTGGGCCAGGCTCTCACCACCCTCACACCAAACAAGTTCTTCCCCACAGCTCAGCTCCATCTCCCCTCTTGCAGGGTCAAACCCTTCCCCCTCCTCCTAGGGCTCCCCTCCCTCATCCAGAGTCCCTCCCCATCTCTCCTGGAGCCCCTGGAGGGACTGGAAGGGGCTCCAAGGTCTCCCCAGAGCCTTCTCTTCTCCAGGCTGAACCCCCCAACTCTCTCAGCCCCCCTCTCCCAGCAGAGGGGCTCCAGCCCTCCCAGCATCTCCGGGGCCTCCTCTGGCCCCACTCCAACAGCTCCATGTCCTTCTGCTGGTGGTGGCCCCAGAGCTGGAGGCAGCACTGGGGGGGTCTCCCTGGAGAGGAGCAGAGGGGCAGAATCCCCCCCTGGCCCTGCTGGCCACGGGGCTGGGGATTGCAAAATGATGCTACTGGGAGACTCTTCCCAGCCCCGTTGGCCATGGGTGAAGGCTGCAACGAGGCGTTTGTTGTGTCCTAGAGCTGCTGGTGCTGGTTGTGGTTGGCAGCACTCACAGGGCAGGCTCTGCCAAGGATTCAGGTTCTTGAGAAAAGGGGGTTTGGCTGACAAGAAGCAAATGATGAAATGGCCTGAGAGCATGAAGGGAAAGAGGAAAATCCTTTGCTGCCAAAGGTGGTTTGGAAGGAAATAGCCGTGGAGCCGTGGGGCTGCGTCCCTCTGTGTGTGGGGAGGTTGCCTGAAGGTCAGTGCTGGAGAGCCCAGAGCCAGACTGAGCTCCTCGAAATCCCACAAACACAACAATGGCCTCGCTCTGAGTGAAAAAAAACGAGGCAAAAATTGCTGCTGAAGAGTGCAAATGCAAAGAGGCAGACGAAACAAAAGCAACGTTTGCCGGCCCACTAAGGAACGAGTGGGCGTCTTGGATGGACTGGAGATAAAAGAAGAAACTTGGGAGGTCCAGGGCACTCTGCTGCATGACTTCTTGGCACAGAGGGACAGGGACATCCCAGGGGCAGGGGGTGACACTGCTTTGCCCAACGCGTGCAGCAAAATCTGCCCGAGACAACCCCAGTTAAGCTCTTCCCTCCTGCGATGCCTTTGGGCACGGCAGGAAGATGGGCTGGGAAATCATCGTGGGTTACAAGGCAATAAACACCGTGTCCCCCAGGGACCCAAAAAAATACAATCTGAGGTTAAAAGGAGGCTTGTTTCAGAGAGCCCAGGGCTGGGTGAGACTGCTGGATCAGCGGTGTCCCCTGTGTCACCACCTGTGGATGCTCCCCTGCTTCCACATGTGTCCAGGCCAGCACAGGAAGCACGTTGGGCTCTGGACCAGGCAGAGCATCCAGCTGGAAACCATTTAGGAAAGCTGGGAAAACACCTGGGGTTCACGGACGTGCAGGCAGTAGATCCATCCCTGGTTAAAAAGGTGCTTAAAAAGAGGATAACTCTGAGGAGGTGTGACGGGAAGGGGTCCAACAGCACAGTCTGCAAAGGGAGGTGATCATTCGTTCGAGTTCTGGACCAGGCAGAGCATCCAGCTGGAAACCATTTAGGAAAGCTGGGAAAACACCTGGGGTTCACGGACGTGCAGGCAGTAGATCCATCCCTGGTTAAAAAGGTGCTTAAAAAGAGGATAACTCTGAGGAGGTGTGATGGGAAGGGGTCCAACAGCGCAGTCTGCAAAGGGAGGTGATCGTCTGTTTGAGGGGGGTGAAGGAGGGCATCTCATGGACCTCTGGAGCCCTTTGGGAAGGGACTGGAGGAAGAAGGAGAGCAGAGATGCCGTGGGGAGCCTCAGTGGGACCTCGGCACACTTGGGTCCTGCAGGCTCTGCCTACAGTCGGGGTGCTCAGATGTTGAACCCTCCCCTGAGCCCTTTAACCTCAGCTGGGTTACACTTTCCTCTTCCAAAGCACAACCACGGGCTGCAGTGTGGGAACACAAGGTGGTGAATCATGCCGAGGGAGATGGAGGAGACTTAGGGTCGTGTTCAGGGCTAAACCATCTCTGCAGTGTGGGAACACAAGGTGGTGAATCACGCCGGGGGAGATGGAGGAGACTTGTGTTCAGGGCTAAACCATCCGGATTTGGAGCAGGTCACCTCCTCCCTGATGAGTCCTGGCTGTGGGTCTGTCCCCTGCCATGGCACAGACCGGCACTAGCTGTCCTCGTGCTCCCCCACGGCACCTCCCTCACGCCTCCTGGGGACCTTGCATGATGTTCTCAGCAGATTTCTCTCATGATAACCCAGTTTAGGGCAGTTCATCCCTCGTAGGTGTAGTCTAAGACCTTCCCACCACCTTCCTGCATCCTCCCGTGCACCTTCCCCGGCTGCGGTGCTGCCCTGAGGGGCCCCGTGTGACAGAGGTGCAGAAGTGGTGACAATGGGACTGGGGTGACAAGTCTGGAGGTCGGAGGCATCTGTCTCTGTAACACCTTGGTGCTTTTCTCTTGTTAGGAAAGCAGATTGAGCGAGAAGAAGGGAGCCAAGAATGAAGAAGAAAAGGGAAAAGAAGCTCCTTCCAAAGACCCGGCCCGGAAACAAGATACAAAAGCGGGAAAAGACTCTAAAAAGGAAGAAAACGTTCAGAAAACAGACCCCAAAGTGAAAGCTGAGGCTGAGAGCAAGACCAAGGAGGAGAAGGCTATCAACGACAAAGTCAAGGCCATGGAGAAAAAGCTGATGGGGAAGGACAAAAAGGAGGAAGACAAAGGCTCAGCCTTAAAGAAGGATGTGGGGAAGGATAAAAAGGAGGAGGAAAAGGGCTCAGCGTTAAAGAAAGACACGGGGAAGGATAAAAAGGAAGAAGAAAAAGGCTCAGCGTTAAAGAAAGACACAGGGAAGGATAAAAAGGAAGAAGAAAAGGGCTCGTCATTAAAGAAGGATGCAGAGAAGGATAAAAAGCAGGAAGAGAAGGAGTCAGCAGCAAAGAAGGACACAGGGAAGGATAAAAAAGAAGAAGAAAAGGGTTCTGCATTGAAGAAGGGCACAGGGAAGGACAAGAAGGAGGAAGAGAAGAGTTCGGGATTAAAGAAAGAGGCAGAAAAAGACACAAAGGGAGAAGATAAGAAAGAAAAGGACAAAAAGGAAGAGGAAAAGAGTTCAGCTTTGAAAAAATCAAAGTCAGACGAGAAGGAGAAATCCCAACCAGAGGCAGAAACGGCAGCAGAGGAGAAACAGGAGTCCAAGGCAGCGGCCACGAGCAGCCCCTCCAAGCCCACCAGCTCCCCGGATCAGGCCAAGGATGACGAAGCCTCCAGCATTTTCGATGAGCTCATCGAGAAGGTGAAGAACAACGACGCCGAGGTGACGGAGGTGAACGTGAACAACTCGGACTGCATCAACAACGAGACTCTGGTGCGCTTCACCGAGGCCCTGGAGTTCAACACCGTGGTCAAGCTCTTTGCCTTGGCCAACACCCGCGCCGACGACCACGTGGCCTTCGCCATCGCCATCATGCTGAAGTCCAACAAGGTGCTGACGAGCATCAACCTGGACTCCAACCACATCACGGGCAAGGGCATCCTGGCCATTTTCCGGGCGCTGCTGCAGAACAACACGCTGACGGAGCTGCGTTTCCACAACCAGCGGCACATCTGCGGGGGGAAGACGGAGATGGAGATCGCCAAGCTCCTGAAGGAAAACACCACGCTCCTCAAGCTGGGCTATCACTTTGAGCTGGCCGGCCCGCGCATGACGGTCACCAACCTGCTGAGCCGAAACATGGACAAACAGAGGCAGAAACGCCTCCAGGAGCAGAAACTGGCACAGGAGCGTGGGGAGAAGAAAGACCTCCTGGAGGTGCCCAAGGTCGGAGCTCTGCCCAAAGGGTCCCCCAAGCCATCCCCGCAGCCATCCCCCAAGGCTTCCCCCAAAAGCTCTCCCAAGAAAGGGGGAGGTCCTGCTGCGCCACCTCCGCCTCCTCCTCCGCTTGCCCCACCGCTCATCAACGAGAACCTGAAGAACTCACTCTCGCCGGCCACGCAGAGGAAGTTGGGAGACCGGGCACTGCCCATCCAGGAGAAGAACTCGCGGGACCAGCTCCTGGCCGCCATCCGCTCCAGCAACCTCAAACAGCTCAAGAAGGCAAGTGCAGGGCCGCGGTGGGGTCCACCCACGGGGTTGGTCTGTGGGCTGAGATCTGAGGTCATGTCTGTTGTCACTTGAATGGCGGAGAGGGTGAGGACAGTCCTCCAGTGCAGGGTATGAAGCAGGACATGCGTGGTCCCAACCCCTGCACCAAGCACATGGGGTGGCAGATCCATCCCTTCGCTGAGCATGTGGGGGGGGCAGATCCATCCTTTGTACCATCCCTTCCAGGGCAGGTGGGGGTCAGCAGATCCATCCCTTGGCAGAGCATCCAACAGGAGAAGACCCATCCCCTGACAGAGAGCGTGAAAGGGGCAGATCCATCCCTTGGCAGAGCCCCTGGGATGGGCAGATCCACCTCATTCCAGCAGCCAGGTTTGGCTCCAGGGTTTGGGACTCCAGGAAGAAGCTTTAACCTGTAACCCCAGGAGATGGAAATCCAGGAGCTCCTCATGCTTAGCTGCAGGGGGGAAGCTCACGCACATCCACAGAATCACAGGATGGTGGGGGTTGGAAGGGACCTCTGGAGACCATCCAGTCCAACCCCCTGCCAGAGCAGGTTCACCCAGAGCAGGTCCCACAGGAACGTGTCCAGGTGGGGTTTGAATGTCTCCAGAGAAGGAGACTCCACCACCTCTCTGGGCAGCCTCTTCCAGGGCTCTGCCATCCTCACAGGAAAGAAGTTCCTCCTCACCTTGAGATGGAATTTCCCGTGTCCCAGTTTGTGCCCGTTGCCCCTTGTCCTGTCCCCGGGCACCACTGAGAAGAGTCTGGCCCCATCCTCTTGCCCCCTTTAGCCCTTTAGCTCTTGCTCAGCAGTGATGAGATCCCCTCTCAGGCTGCTCTTCTCCAGCTGAACAGCCCCAGGTCCCTCAGCCTTTCCTCAGCAGAGAGATGCTCCAACCCCTCAGCATCTTTGTAGCCTCCGCTGGACTCTCTCCAGCAGTTCCCTGTCCTTCTGGAACTGGGGAGCCCAGAACTGGTCCCAGTGCTCCAGCTGGGGCCTCCCCAGAGCAGAGCAGAGGGGCAGGATGATCTCCCTCCACCTGCTGGCCACGTTCTTCTTGATGCCCCTCAGGAGACCATTGGCCTTCTCGGCCACCAGGACACATTGCTGGTCCATGGGCAACTTGTCCACCAGGACTCCCAGATCCCTCTCTGCAGAGCTGCTCCCACCGCTCTTCAGAAAATCAAACACTCTGGTGACAGAGACCTGCCCCCCATGCACCACCCAAACCCATCCTCCTTCCTCTTGAGCCCCTCCAGCTTCTTGCCCCACACAGAGCCTTTGCTGGAGAAGGGTTTCCAGCCTGGAGAAGAGAAGGCTCCGGGGAGACCTTGGAGCCCCTTCCAGTCCCTCAAGGGGCTCCAGGAGAGATGGGGAGGGACTCTGGATGAGGGAGGGGAGCCCTAGGAGGAGGGGGAAGGGTTTGACACTGAAAGAGGGGAGATGGAGCTGAGATGTGGGGAAGAACTTGTTTGGTGGGAGGGTGGTGAGAGCCTGGCCCAGGTTGCCCAGAGAAGCTGTGGCTGCCCCATCCCCGGAGGGGTTCAAGGGCACATTGGAGGGGGCTTTGGGCAACCTGGTCTCATTGAAGATGTCCCAGCCACTAGAAGGGATGGAACTGGATAAACTTTAAGGTCCCTTCTAACCCAAAACGTGCTGTGATTCTATGGCGATTCCAGCCCTTCCCTGGGTTGGAGGGGACCTTTAAGTTCATCAAGACCAACCATCAACCCAACACCGACCAACCCACCACTGACCCGTGTCCTTCAGCAACGGCTTTTAGATCCCTCCAGGGATGGTATTTGGGGAGTGGAGCCACAGGACAAGGGGGAAGGGTTTTAAACCAAAAATTAGGAGATGGAGCTGAGATGTGGGGCAGAAATCCTTTGGTGTGAGGGTGGTGAGAGCCTGGCCCAGGTTGTCCAGAGAAGCTGTGGCTGCCCCATCCCTGGAGGGGTTCAAGGCCAGGTTGGAGGGGGCTTGGAGCAACCTGGTGTGGTGGGAGGTGTCCCTGCCCAGGGCAGGGGGTGGGAATGAGATGGTCTTCAAGGTCCCTCCAACCCAAACCATTCTCTGACTATGGATGTCCCCAAGAGACACCCCTGGAGCTCTGACCATCCCCAGCAGAGAGAGGGGCTCAGCCCCACCGCTCAGGTCCGCACCCCCAGGCTGGTCCAGCATCCCATTCCCTGTCCTCCAGTGCAGGGTATGAAGCAGGACATGCGTGGTCCCAACCCCTGCACCAAGCACATGGGGTGGCAGATCCATCCCTTCGCTGAGCACGTGGGGTGGGCAGATCCATCCTTTGTACCATCCCTTCCAGGGCAGGTGGGGGTCAGCAGATCCATCCCTTGGCAGAGCATCCAACAGGAGAAGACCCATCCCCTGACAGAGAGCGTGAAAGGGGCAGATCCATCCCTTGGCAGAGCCCCTGGGATGGGCAGATCCACCTCATTCCAGCAGCCAGGTTTGGCTCCAGGGTTTGGGACTCCAGGAAGAAGCTTTAACCTGTAACCCCAGGAGATGGAAATCCAGGAGCTCCTCATGCTTAGCTGCAGGGGGGAAGCTCACGCACATCCACAGAATCACAGGATGGTGGGGGTTGGAAGGGACCTCTGGAGACCATCCAGTCCAACCCCCTGCCAGAGCAGGTTCACCCAGACAAGGTCCCACAGGAACATGTCCAGGTGGGTTTGAATGTCTCCAGAGAAGGAGACTCCACCACCTCTCTGGGCAGCCTCTTCCAGGGCTCTGCCACCCTCACAGGAAAGAAGTTCCTCCTCATGTTGAGATGGAATTTCCTCTGTCCCAGTTTGTGCCCGTTGCCCCTTGTCCTGTCCCCGGGCACCACTGAGAAGAGTCTGGTCCCATCCTCTTGCCTCCTGCCCTTTAGCTATTGCTCAGCAGCGATGAGATCCCCTCTCAGGCTGCTCTTCTCCAGCTGAACAGCCCCAGGTCCCTCAGCCTTTCCTCAGCAGAGAGATGCTCCAGCCCCTGAGGACCTTTGTAGCCTCCGCTGGACTCTCTCCAGCAGTTCACTGTCCTTCTGGAACTGGGGAGCCCAGAACTGGTCCCAGTGCTCCAGCTGGGGCCTCCCCAGGGCAGAGCAGAGGGGCAGGATGACCTCCCTCCACTGCTGGCCACGTTCTTCTTGATGCCCCTCAGGAGACCATTGGCCTTCTCGGCCACCAGGACACATTGCTGGTCCATGGGCAACTTGTCCACCAGGACTCCCAGATCCCTCTCTGCAGAGCTGCTCCCACCGCTCTTCAGAAAATCAAACACTCTGGTGACAGAGACCTGCCCCCCATGCACCACCCAAACCCATCCTCCTTCCTCTTGAGCCCCTCCAGCTTCTTGCCCCACACAAAGCCTTTACTGGAGAAGGGTTTCCAGCCTGGAGAAGAGAAGGCTCCGGGGAGACCTTGGAGCCCCTTCCAGTCCCTCAAGGGGCTCCAGGAGAGATGGGGAGGGACTCTGGATGAGGGAGGGGAGCCATAGGAGGAGGGGGAAGGGTTTGACCCTGAAAGAGGGGAGATGGAGCTGAGCTGTGGGGAAGAACTTGTTTGGTGTGAGGGTGGTGAGAGCCTGGCCCAGGTTGGCCAGAGAAGCTGTGGCTGCCCCATCCCTGGAGGGGTTCAAGGCCAGGTTGGAGGGGGCTTTGGGCAACCTGGTCTCACTGAAGATGTCCCAGCCACTAGAAGGGATGGAACTGGATAAGCTCTATGGTCCCTTCCAACCCAAAATGTGCTGTGATTCTATGGCGATTCCACCCCTTCCCTGGGTTGGAGGGGACCTTTAAGTTCATCAAGACCAACCATCAACCCAACACCGACCAACCCACCACTGACCCGTGTCCCTCAGCAACGGCTTTTAGATCCCTCCAGGGATGGTATTTGGGGAGTGGAGCCACAGGATGAGGGGGAAGGGTTTTAAACCAAAAATTAGGAGATTGAGATGAGATGTGGGGACAGGAATTCTTTGGTGGGAGGGTGGTGAGAGCCTGGCCCAGGTTGCCCCGAGAAGCTGTGGCTGCCCCATCCCTGGAGGGGTTCAAGGGCAGGTTGGAGGGGGCTTGGAGCAACCTGGGCTGGTGGGAGGTGTCCCTGCCCAGGGCAGGGGGTGGGAATGAGATGGTCTTCAAGGTCCCTCCAACCCAAACCATTCTCTGACTATGGATGTCCCCAAGAGACACCCCTGGAGCTCTGACCATCCCCAGCAGAGAGAGGGGCTCAGCCCCACCACTCAGGTCTGCACCCCCAGGCTGGTCCAGCATCCCCTTCTGTTGACCCCCCAAGTAACGGGGTGTCCTCTCTGGCAGGTGGAGCTACCGAAGCTGCTGCAGTAGGGGGTGGGAGGACGCTCCCCCCGCGGCCCCCGGGGACACCGGCCTTTCTGGTGCCTGTTTCCATGACCAGCCCTTTGGGAGCCTGCAGTGACCGACACCGAGGAGCAGCCATCTCTTGGGGACGGACGGACGGATGGACAGATGGACAGATGGATGGACAGACGAAGGGCCACCACGGCCGTTGGACGCGGCGCGGGAGGAAGACGTTGTATTTATTATTTTTAACGGTTGTGACACCTTCAAGCTCTTTCTTTTGCCAGCACCGTGTCCCGCCCGGTGACACCGAGGATGGAGGAGGGAACCCCCGGGGCTTGGCACCCCCACCCCATCCCAACTTGCCCACCGGGCCCCCGGGGTGGTCCAGCCCGGGGCAAGCAGAGGGACCCCCCCATACTCCCCCAGCCCCAACCATGCCTGGAGGGGACAACCAGATTGTTGTCACAACGTGCCACCCCCCAGGGTGGCAGGGACAGTGGTGGGGTGGCAGCGGGTGGGATGGTGGGTTGGTGTTGGGGGGCAT